CCTGGGCAGTCACTTCACCCCAGTTTCTTCATCTGTGCAATGGGCCATGATAGTACCTACTCAGAGGGTGGTGTGAGGATTAAATGAAGCGACCTACATTAAGTGCTTTGCCAAACACCCAGCTCAATACATGGCCACTGCAGTTACCACCTGAGGTGTTATATAGCTCTTATCCACCTGGAAGCATGCAGACACCTACCGCGCACAGCTCTTTACAGCTGACAAAGCCCCTTTGCCTCTCAGATGTTACAGTTAGTCCTCACAGCAGCCCCAGTTCAGTGAGGCAGAGCAGGACCAGTGACCCTACTTCATACACGTGGAAACTGAGGCTCAGAAGGGGAAGTGAGTGACTTGCCTGAGGTCACACAGCCTGTCAGATGTGGAATGAAGGTCTAAACCTGGGGAGTTTCTAACCCAAACCCATCGCTCATTCTACTTTAACCATGGAGAATACCAATGACCCAGCAGCCCCCATCGGGAGACCCATTCTGTGCTTGATCTCCTGCCCTCACCCTGCTGGGGACTTGTGAGTGCCCACACTGCCCGGTCCCTGCTCTAGGGCAGGCCCTGTGCCATGCTGGGCCTTAGTTTCCTCCTCTGTGATGTGGGAACAGTACACCCTTCTCTGCAGGCTTGGGAGTTTCGTTGAGGTGTGGCGTGGAAGGGCCCAGAGCCAGGTGAGCTCCACAAATGGCACAATCTCAGTTCCCGCCTCACTTTCTTCCCACTGGCCCAGGAACTGGAGGCTGTGAGGTTTATGCCCTTGTCTGTCGGTTCTTCGGAAATCTCGTCCTTGTCTGGTCTTCTGGAAAATCATTTCCAGGTGTGGTCTCCACACCCCAGCCTTTGGGAACAGGGACAAGGCAGAGCGACTGTGAAAGGAAAACAGAGACCCAAAGAGACTGGAGAGAAGAGGAGGGACTGTGGCTTCCTTCTCCTGGCAAGGTCTCCATCCTGGGGCTGGCGTGTGGCTCCCAGGGGTGTGAGGAGCCAGCAAGACCCCATAGGCCCTCTCTTGCTGTCCCTGGGGACTCTGCCCCAGCTTACACCAGCCTGGGATCTGTTGGGGCCTGCCTCCCCTGCCTCCCCTGCCTCCCCTGCCTCCCCTGCATTCAGTTTTCCACCTCTCTCCTCGACCCTTCGCTTCTCTCTCCTAATTGTTCTCGCTCTGTATTCCTGCCCCTTTCCCCCTCTCCCTGCGCCCACTCACACTGTGCTGACCCTGTGGCTTTCTATCAGGCACCAACAGAGGAAATCTGGGAGGCGATGCATCCATCTCCCACCAGGCAAGGTCAGCCCCTGCTGATGTCAGGAGCAGAGGGTGGGGTTCACCCCCAGTGACCCTACCTCCTGGCCTCTGCCACCAGGACCATAGTCATGGGAAGTTCTCTTAAGTCCTCAGGGCTCTGGTTAATAGAGAGATATGGCTCCTTGGGGTCCAGCCAGGAACCCCCAGACCTTTGCGGGAAAGGGAGGTGTCAGGCAGCACCCTTGCTATGCCCTGACCACCATCCTGTACTCAGGTACAGTGACAGAATGCAGATATGAAAACAAAACTGGCTTAGAGAGGAACCCTAGACAGAGATGTGCACACCGGGACTATGTGAGCATATTCACTCAGAATTATGAACATTCAGGCACAGATGTGCACACCTGGAGGGAATAATTTTATACAGAGACATACACCTGTACACAGATAGCTGTGACCCATGGAAATAGACGTGCACTTATAAATGTTTACATGCGGAGAGGCACACATCCCCTGAGATTGTCATGCACACACACAGCTATGACATTTGTACTTAGACACGGGTATACACCCAATGAGGGACATTCCCACAGAAATCTTTGTACAGATCCAGAGAGAGAGCTGCGTATGTGCAAGTCTAGATGTCTATCCATAGAAATAGAGACACGTCTATACACGGAAGCAGTGTGATCCACATGTATACCCAAAGGTAGGCATGTATACAAAGAAACAGATATGAATACACAGTGATGGGTGCAGTCACAAAGGGCACATTCACATTCAGAAATGGACAGTTACCCACAGAGACTAGTGTACTTGCTGCCTGATGTGTAGACTCTAAGACGGGTTCATGTACCCGAGGAAATGGCATGACCAGATGATGACACGAGAGCATCAAGAGACGGGCAAGTATGCACAGCCACAGAAAGAGGCAGGCGTGGCAGCAACTCCCTGCCCCCAGACATACTCACAACACCCTGCCGGGGACAGCCCTTGTGTCCATTAGCTCTAGGATGCTGCGGAGCCAGTCATGGAGAGGAGGGTCATCTCTATGCCAAGACATCCTCAGAAGTTTGAGGGTAGGTCCTCAGAGCTCAGTGCCTAGGGTTCCTGTCTCGTGAGCGGCTTGGGCACTCCCTAATGACCTTGGCAGGCAGACAGCAGGTGTCTTTGTTGCTTCTCTGCCATCTCCCCTGGGGACCAGGAGAGAAGGCTACTGATTGGAGAGAGGGGCAGCCGGGAAGGGGAGGCCCCACCCAGAGGTGCCATCAAGGAGAGATGGGTTGAAAAAGTGCAAGAATACTTGAGGCCTGTGTAGCATTTGGAGCTCAGACAAATGGAATGATCGGAGGGAAGGGTGCAGGAGCTCTTGTGGATGGGGAGAGGGCTGTGAGATGGAAGAGCTCTGCTTTCTGGCTTGCCCTTTTGCTCTGTATGAAGAGTGGGGTCATCTGCAGGGGAAGGTAGGGGTGCATTGTCTCTGGGAGACTGGTGACCATCTGGGATGTCGTCTGTGGAGGATCTGACTGAGAGACACCTTAGGAAACATGGAAAGGCAGGGTGGGAGGTAAGGACGGAGACCCTAAATGAGGCTGGAAACCATGGACGGATGCTGTGCCGACTACGTGATAACAGGACTCTGCTCAGCAGTGCTCAGAGGTCAAGGGAGAATGTGGCCATCAGGGCTCATCCAGCAGATGTCATGAAAGGAGAGTGGGATGACCCCGATCCTGGAATTTAAGCCCACGAGGGAAGGTGGGGCAAGGGGTCTGTGAGGTGGGGACGGAACAGCAGGGAAGAGAGACCACAGTGTTGGGAGGCCTCATGACAGTGTGAGAACAGAGGCGGTTGTTTCAGGGGATGGGAGGAACATTTCAGAGGTGATTCGAGAGACAGCGAGTCCAGGGTGTTGTCACCATAATGGTGACAATCTTATATTATGGATGTCTCATTTGATGCTGTCATGACGCCCCCCATATCCTGGGACGTTCGACATTCCCAGGCATGCAGACATTATGCCTGCAACCGCTGGACTTTTGGGCCATTCACAGGCAGCTTGGGAATGTCCAGGGATGATGCCCTCAGCAGCCTTCACCCAGGGACAGCTGACAGTTGGTGAACAAGCCCTCTGCTTCCTTGTCCATCAGTGTCACACCTTGAGGCCATAGCCTACACGTCTCTGGAGGCGCCCATGGGGGTCAAGCTTCAGTTACCCACAATAGCCAGTTGCTCATTAATACCCTAAACTTCTCATTCCTGTCTCTCTCGCCAACTCCTCGACCTGCACTTCCTGAAATCTCCTCCCAGATAAACAACTTGCCCTCCAGTCCTTGTCACAGGGTCTTCTTGTGGAACAACTCAAACCAAGACAGTGGTGGCTCAACTCTTTGAGCTTCGCTGTCTTTCCCTGTAAGATGGGGAGTCTTATATGTGCCTGTGAAATTGGGAGGACACACCACATGTTGTATGCGAGGCTCCCAGCACCATGCCCAGCCTTAGCAGGTATGCGGCTAGTTCCCTCTCTCACACACACAGTGGTTGTTTAATAAAATCTCCTGTCTCCTCAGACTGCCCACAGCAGCTGAATCTTTCTGTTCAATCTTCCAGTCAAGCCCCACAGGTGAGCTGATGCCTCAGGACTGACTATTCCTGATGCTCTTTGCTGAACACCTTCCAGGTGGCCTCCCATGCTGGCAGCAAAGGGCTCCCTGGGGACCTGACAAAAGGATGGGCCAGAGGCAACATGTGGTCTGGCAGATGTACATCTGAGTTCCTCTGAGGTAAATAAAAATCATACTTGCTCCTATGCACTGAGCCAGGCACTGGCTAAGACTTCCCATACATTATCTCGTCCAAAGCTCATAGCAAACTGCAGACTACTGCGTATTCCCGTTTCACAGTGAGGAGCCTGGGCCTTGGAGAGGTTGGATGACTTTCCCAGGTTCCCACAGCCTGGCAGCTAGTGGTGGAGACAGGATTCAGACCTCTTTGGTCACACCAGAGCCCAAGCTCCTTACTGGGAGGCAGAAATGTGCCATGTTCACCTCAGATGCCCTATGCCAGGTGTGTGCTCTGAGCAGAGGAGCTTAGGAAATGAGCATTGGGCTGACCGGGACCAAATAAGTCCCCGGAGGAAACAGATTCTGTTTCCTGTTGGACATACAGCCCTGGAGGGCATTTCTGCAGTTTAGCTCCTAACACATGGCCTGTCACACAGGGATGTTAAAGCAAGGTTTGGGGAATCAGTAAAGGAGTGAACGTTTAATATTCTTGGGCAGAATTTACACTATGGCCCTGATCCATG